TGCCATAAAAACCCAGTCTTCCCTTGAAAGGAAAGTCATGTCTGCATTTCCACGTCCCTTCATTCTGACAAGCATCTGCACATCTGTAAATCTTCTGACCCGCGCAGGCTGCAGCAGCTCTGAACGGCGAGAAAAGTCAAAGAAGTAAACCCAGCAGAAAAGGAATGTAAAGGAAAAGAAGGACGATGAAGAAGCAGAGGAAAGAGCAGAGAAATACACACGCACAACACAACAGCTCAAACGGAATGTTGGCAAACCCACACATGGATGCACAAAAACCCTGAGCTGGAGTTGAGCAAGCAGCTTTGTATAAAGTTACCCAGAGTCTCTGATAACACCGCTTGGGCAAGAAGACTCACAAGCTGAGGGTAACTGATTCCCATCCTCTGCAAATGGGCCCAGGACTGGGCGAATGACACGAGAAGACTGAACTAAGGAGACTGAAAGCTGTTCCTTCAGAGAATTCAAGACTTTGGAAAACCAGCCTGCAAGGGGGGACGTCCCGCCATCTGAACAGCGTGGGTTTTCTGACACCAGCAGCCCCGGCTGACTGTCCCCAACAATGCTCCATGCCTCCCCATCAAAGCCAGCTGCAGGGAGTCCGGCTGCCCTGGGGCAGGTGGTGCAGCACAGCTCCCAAAGTCCTGGTAAGTAAACCCTCCTATTTAATTATTTAGAAGTTCATCGATTTCCACATTGATGAAAAGTCATAATTATGGAAATGGTTTAAAGGACCAACCTTTTACTTTGCTGACTCTGCCCTGTAGAACAGAGACATCAGGTGTATCTATGAAAGTCACCCTCTCATTAAAGAGTTGACAACACAAAGCCCCAAGGTACTCAGTCCGGCCTGGTAAGTGCTGTCGGCGGTGTCCAAGGGAAATGTCAATGTTCCCCTAGCACTGATGACAGAGACACACTTACCTGTGTTTCCTCTGTGTATTATCTGGAAAACGTGGATCTGCATTCCCTGCATACAGGCCTAGGGAGAGTGGGAAAGGCCAGCTCCGGCACAACTCGCCCAGAGGAGCTAGACACGAGAGTCACGTCTTTCAGGTGGGAAGTTAGGGATGGAGAGCCCGGGAATGTAGCAGCCTGGGTGACCATGCCTACAGAGATGCTTCTCCCTGATTCCTGTAATACAGAGATGCCTGCTTCAAAGAATCCCAACAAACTCATCCTTTGGGGAACAGAAAGCAAGGCGGCAGCAACCGACTGAATGCTGACATGCATGTGTCCCAGAGGAAAATTAATGAAATGGTGAAGTGGCTCAAAACCCCTGCAGTAGCTGCCAGTGAAGGTGGGCAGGAGACATCCCCCGAGCAACACACCCACCCACAATTCCCTTGCAGGGGCCCCTTAGCCTGTAACAAGTGCTCAAGTGCCACACCCCTCCAGGGTGACTTCAACCCTTAAGTCCTGTGCTCATCCGTGCTGGGCTGAGACACATAACGATGCTACAACCTGGCTGGTCATGCTTTGTCAAACCACAGCTAGCCTCTGTACAAAGAACAAATGGGTTGAGATTCCTGTGTCTGGGAAGGATTGAAAAAAAAAAAAAGGAAAAGCAGGTCTGGCATTGAAGACCTAATAATAGACATGATTTTAAGCCAAAGTCGTGAGAACCATGACTTTAGACACAGAAACAATTACTGCAGCAGTCTTCCTTCTGAACACACGACAATGTGGTGCAGTGTGAAGTGTTTGCATTACCGTCCATGGAATCGGCCAGGACACTGTTCCTGCAAGTTGTATTACTAACAAAACCTCTTACCACAATGGCAGCTTTCCCAGTCTCCAAATATTTTTAAATAGATGCCCACTTATTATTTAACTCATATCCCAAATAACCACACTGTATTAGTCCAGGTACTTTAGAGAAACAAATTCACAACAACTCACGTATAAGAGAGAGTTTTATGTAAAGAAAATGTGCATCATGAAAACATCCCAACCCAGTGCTACCCAAGCCCACAAGTCCAACATTAACCCATTAACCCAACACCAGTCCACAAAGTCCTCCACCTCACAAAACAGAGGCAATGATGCCGACTGCAGGAGGAAAGCTGAGTCAGTGAACGAATAAGCATCTCAGCACTAGCAGGGGTCTCCACACCGCTGCTCCAGCACCCAGGGCTGCATCGGGATAGGTCCATGTAGCTTCTCCTTGGGGATGTCTTGTAGGAAGTCAATCTTGCAAGCTGAAGCAGGGAACTGCTAAGGCAGCTGCATCCTGGTGCTACCATCACAAAGCAAGAGACCGGAGAACTAGAAAGGCAAGGCTTCACCACCCATTTATCCCTCCGCCTTTCAATTAGCCCCACATGTCATTATCGGCCAGGCTGGCACAATTAACTAACTCACACACTGTCAAATTTTGTTTTGTTCTGTTTTTAACCTTAGTGCAAAAAGTACTGAAGTGCTACTCCAAACCTGAGCATACTCTATGGATTCATAAGATGAAGTGTTCATCAGAGAAACCCCATAGAATCCATAAAATGGTATGACAATACATAGCGGGCCTCACTGAGGATCAAGTTTGCATGACCACACCTTCACAGCACAGTTCAGTTTATGATACAGCCTGGTGTTATCACCTGTGAGTCCCCTGACCACAGGATTAATGCTAACATTCTTCTCCACACCATGTTTTCTCCCTCATTCTGAGAGCACCTTTCTTGTTAGGATGTAGCAGCGATGTGATGGAGCTGAGGGAAGCCCTAGCAACTTCCTGGAAAAGGCAAGAAACTTGAAAATAAACAGGAGAGAAATAGCTGTCTCCTTGCTATTCCAAGCTGAGGGCCTGTCTCTCACACGCTGAGCACTTCAAGCCTTTTCCTCTGCTCATGGCTAATTATTTAAAGACAGTGCCATTTGGAAGCAAGAAACTTACATGACCAAAAGATACCTTAAAAATAAAAAAGTCCCTGAGTTATCTCGTCCCATCTGTCAACATCCATAAGCAGTCCTTGCCAGCAAGTCAAAGCCATAGGCTATCGCGGGACCCTTTGGCAGGCAACTGCCACTCAAGTGCTGGAGCCAATACCCATCCAGGAGCCAAATACCAAGCAATACCTTCCCTTCCCCTGGCATCTGATTACAAAATGCCAGGCAGCAGCAAGACATGACTACAAAGGCATAAACAGCTGGAAATAATTACACAATTGTCAAGCTGCACACCTGACAAAAGCAAACCTCGGCTTGTGATTTCAGTATCAGAAAGGATGCTGATGAGAAGGTAGGAGAAGCCTTTTAGCTGTTCCTAATTTGCTATTATAGACTCCAATCACAGGGCTGATGGGGTTTTGTTCCGTGTGCATGTGAGTCTAGCCTGTGTACATGCTAACTTCAAAGAAGGAAGAAAACAACATTTTTCATGTGTTCCTGCAAAATGTGCAATAGAAAATATGTAAGCACAGCAACAACAAAATTTAATCCAGTCTTTGAAGGCATCTTTTCAGAGTTGCTACAACTAAACAACTGAACTATAATATGCAGATAAGAAATATTTCTTTAAAGTTATTTTAAAATGTTCTCCTCTTTAAAGAGTAAAGAAAATGCACAGGCAATGCGATAGTCCAGAATTCTGCACATCAACATCAGGCACACACATCAGGCAAAATGCAATGCAGGGATTTGTCCAGAGCAAAAGACAACTAAGGAAATGAAATTCCTGTAGTTTCCAGGTGGGTTACAGGTATGTAAATTACAGACTTCCATAAAAGCATGTCTTAGCCTAAAGCTTTTATCGCAGCCTGTAATGCAATGAACTCCTTCCCAAATAACTAAATTGAGTAAATAATCTTTCCATGGTTTTATGCACTACGGCTATTGGAAATTTTAAAGGCAGAATCACTTCTGTCATTCCATTTGGGGCTGATGCTTTATTACGATATTTGGATTCCATGTGACAAACTGTTTCATATAATGTCTCCCAAAGTGCTACTCTTTGAAGTGGAATGCCATAAATAAAATACGTACTTGGTTACCAGGCAGCATGCAAGACACATATGGTACATTGGACCAAAATCCACATTTTAAAATGCTTAAAAGTTAACTTAACAATGTAAGCTGTTTGCACCCATTTTCAGAGAATTATCTTCTAAAGGCCAATTTATTTTCTATCATTGCAAGAGTATTTGGATTAGTCCTGTTGATTTGCTAACTTGAAATTGTTTTTAGCCCGCTAATCTCTTCTTTGTGGTCCCCTTTTTTCCCCCTTTCTTTCTTTCTTTGAGGGGATGGGAGAAAGGGGAAAACCATAAGTCTCATGATAGAATTTTAAGCATAATGCTGCCTATTTGAATTCAAATTGATGTTGCTTCTGATAACAGCCCAATAATCAATTCTCCATTCTCATTACTCTCCGGAATTATATGGACGCAGACCAATCTCTTAAGTTTGTGGACTACTCTCATAGGTTATTACCCAGCAGTGCAGCTGAGTGGAAAGATAACCACATTCATTCTCCTTATCTGTAATGATGTAATGCATCCTAGCCCTGGGTCTACATGATTGGGGAATAATGGGATTGTACAACTGCAGGGATGACAAACAATAGTGCAGCATCTTTCTCTGATACCCTGAACCTCCAACACACCCAGAGAGGCTTCCTAAAACAGGCGCCTGCTCTGCCCGCTGGACCAAGTTCGCATTTCCCGTCAGAAGAGCAGGGCGTTCGTTCGCACAGAAACAGCAAGACTGACTCTGAGAGGAGGGCTCTGCGAAAACACGGTTCCCGAGCCGCCGCGGCCAGGACAGTGCGAGAGAGTGAGCCCCTGCCTTTCTTTGTGCTCAGAATCGAGTGTCATCTAAAAATAAGCCTTGGGCAGGGAGAAGTCACTGCACAACACAATGACAAGGGAGCAGGGCGCAGAAACACTTCTGATAACCGATGCTTCTCCGGACTCACGTTTGTTTGGGAAACTAAATCTGCCTCCATTTTCTGTGCTGGGAAAAAGAGGGGAAAAAATCACTTCCTGCCACCACTGAAACCTTACCTTTTGCAGAAGCTGGGAGCCCGAGTACTTAGCAGCAATGGATTTTATCTCCCCACCAAACGCCGAGGCCCAGAGCTTCACCCTGGGGAACAGAGGGCACAGAGGAAATGTAACACCGGCACAGTGAGCACCACGCACGCACGCACACTCATACCTAGAGCTGGGGGCTCAAGAAATAGGGCGCTAGCATATTTTAGGGGGGGGGTTCAGGAAAAGAAGAAAGCAGGGTGTGGGGGGCCCGTCTTGGTAGAAATTGCAGCATCGAACTGCAGAGCGCAGCACTGGAGGGGTCGAAGAGGGTCTCATAGTCAGAAATGTGCAAAGTCTCCCAGGTTCGGTAAAAAAAAAAAAAAAAAAAGACCACCGGTTTTATTTCAGTCAGTGCCTGAGGACTTAACCGCCCAAACTAGCATCACTTAGGGAATACAAGAGGGGAGAAGCCCACCCTGCCCCTCCCCAAAGAAGTGCGATGGTCAGATAGCACCTAAGGGGAGAATTAAAGACCCTGTAAGTGGGATGAGGTAAGCAAGCTCCAAAGTTGGCACCCACAGAGGTGAGCCCCTCCGCAGGAAGCGGGCAGGGGCTCCCACCCCGGCCTCCCAGCCCGCCGCAGGAGCTAGGAGGCAGGGGCGAGGGGCGAGAGGGGCCAGGGGCAAGGGGCCAGGCCGGCCCCGCCGCACTTGCAGGCGGGGAAACTTGGGCACAGCGGGTCGGGGTCCCCTCCCCGGCGGCGCGGGACCCCACACTTACACGGAGAGCGGGATCTGCTGCTCCGAGCGCCCCGCGGCCCCCAGGGCGGCG